TCAGAATCTCATAGGTGCACAGCTGCGTCTGGGGACAGCTTGCAGAGAATAGCTTATCAGACTTCAGTCGCAGACGGGCACTGGCGGTTTGAATGAGCGCAAGCTTTGCCCCCGCGCTCCTCGAATCGATGCCTATTATCATAAGAACGGTCTGGAGGCCTCAACTATTCATTTTTCTGGATTGGGAGTTAATGGGGGAAATCTGTGGGCGCTCTAAGATGTCTAATTACACTAATCAAGTTCTTTAATCGTGGTAATTCTTCATGGCTACAGAGGCACAGAAGACCTCTCTCAGATCAACGTCCTTCCAGATCCCCGGAGACTTGAATCACTTATTTGGCCTTTGTAAAATTACTAAATTCCTTTGCGGTACTTACACAATTTTAAAAATACACAGGTGACACGAGCAGTTAGATATTTTACTGATTTACTGTATGTGATTTTGTGGATTGCTCATTTTCAGAGCAGAACAGATGGAACATTTGGGGGGAAGCGGATACCTTTATTGCTAAAAGAAGTGCTAATTAAACATGCGCTGGAGAGATGTGTTGATCCAGGGAGCATATCCTAATAGCATCTGACAAACATCCATATGTGGCCATTTACTCAAGTTAATTTAGAGCTCAACGTGCATTTTTGTCTAACTTTAATTGAAATGCTCCCAAGATACTTGGCTCAGGATCCTGCCGGCCTATACAGGGGAAAGTAGATGTTTGAAAACTTTGTGTAGACAGACATGTAACCTACTTTTCTGCATTTAAGCTATCTGATATGGGTCGAACTCTTTTGGTATCGCTCCACAAGCTTCTCACATCAGTTCAGACAGAAACGGTGAATCTGACTCAGGTTTGTAGGCCGTCTTGATCATACACACCTGTTCAGCTTTGCCCATCAATTGCACTAGCTCAGGCCTTTAGGATGGGCACCCACTCCAAAACATTTGACTTTGTTGACCTTGAGCCACTTTGTGATCAATGTTTAATGTATGCTCTGCATGGGAGAACCACTTGCTCCCATCTTCAACTTCCATGATGCTGCAACCACAAACATTTTGCATCGAACCATGTTTGTCTCAAGCCCGTTTCCTTCCTGAAGATGATGATGGCAGGTCATTTTCATGATAGTTATGTTCATATCCAAGGATGAACCAGGATATGAGCACGGCATTTTGATTGATTTCTGAATGATGTTTCACAACAAAGCATGATGTGCCTCAAATTAACCTGTCAGAAGCCTTAAACCCACGAAATCACCTTTTCAGCTTTCTCAGATTGTTTCAAAGCAGTGATGTAAGAGAAAGTTGAGTCACTTTTCAGAAACACATTCTATTATTATTCAAGTTCTTAGAAAATACGGAAAAAAATGGGTGCCTCCTCCCAGGTGGGTAGAGTATAAGAGTAGCACTGCTTCAACATATTTTGCTCAAGTAAAAGTAAAAATTATCCATTCAAGAAATTACTCAAGTACGAATGAAAGAGGATTTGGAAAAAAAACACTACTTAAGTACTGAGTGACTAATCAAAACATTAATCAATTAATATTTCAAACTTACATCATCAAAATTTAAAGTTATGTGGAAATGTAGTTTTTTTAATAAGAATTCATAAAAATAATTACAAAATATTTTTTCCAACTCAATGTTTTTCAATATAAAATATATTAAACTTAACAAGAACTACAGATGTGTGTCTCTGTCTGGTGAATCTTTGGTTAAAACAAACTCCATCCAGAGAAGTTAGTCTCAGTGGGTAGACTATCCAGAAATGTTATTCAAGTAAAAGTAAAAAGTACAGCATAGTAAAAATACTCCTTTTTCCCCAAAAAAGTTACTCAAGTAAATGTAACTAGTTACTACCCAACTCTGCCCCTTCCTGAGTTAGAACAGGAAAGGTTGAGTCTAATTAAATGTCCGACAGTCAGAGAAATTTGTATTTCTCTTTTTATACAGTAAATATATCCAAATGGTTTCAGCTGTTGGCTCCTCCGTTTAAATCCGGTAGCATTTATACCACGCATCAACTTTCTGTTTGTCGCACACAACCAGCGTTTGCTGAACGTCATTGTTTAGGACGAAGCACTTGAGCAGGAGAGGGGAGGATAAGAGGAAACGGATTCTGTTGACTGCGTGTCAACAAACTCCACAAACCCCATCTTCGCTTCTGATGGGCTGTTGTCAACAGCGCTCGTCGCAAATGCTTAAAGTCTTACAACATAAAGGCAGAAAGCTCACAGGCATGGTAAGTGTTTGGCCAGAACCAATGAGTTAAATATTCAGCATTGTGTACCAGCTTCTTCGAGCCACGGAGAAACATCTGACGGAGCAGGGTGACGGCTGCAGAGCTTCGGCTAATGTATGGTGATGGCTCCTGCACTGTGAACAGAAAGCCATGAATATAAAGTGTTGGTCTGGGCTCTCCGTTGTGCTGAGCTGACGGCTGCTGAGCGGAGGGATTGTTGCACAGCTGGACGGGACTGAGCCGTCGCACCGTCCCGCTTCCCCTCAGCTCAAATGTGTCTCAGCTATTTCTGATGGCCATCACCCTTCTCTTAATCTCATTCTCCACATCCCCATTGTGCCGACAGCTACCAGCTATCCACTGCTGCATCCTGGGAAAAGCAACCACCCCTCAGACTAATGTTGTTTCTATGCAGATACGAGATGCTGGCTAATTCACAAGTCGGCTAATATATCTGTGAAATCCATTCCAATGTACTTATTGCACTTTTGCACATCTTTCCTGTGCAAAAATGTTGGCTACAAGTTACAACCCCAGTTTCAATGAGTTTTGTTAGGATTATGAAATGTATGCAAAACGCCATGTGTGGTTAAGAACTGACACTGGCCATGACTCAGTGACAGGTAGGTTGATTAGGTGATGTGAAGATGGATGGAGCCTGAAATGTGTCACAGATTTGACATTTGAGGGATTCTTCATGTGTTAAAATGGCCCACGCAAAATCCAGCACTGCAAAAACACAGAATTGTACCAAGTATTTTTGGTACTACGTGAAATGAGGCAACACTAACTGATAAGTAACTTTTCAGCTAGAAGTAGGAACTTGTTTTAAGTCAATAATTACTTAAAATTGATGAAAATGTATTAGGTAAACATGCAGATTATTTCATTTATAGCACTGAAAAAATGTCATGTTATAAGAGAAGTAACTAGTACTTTTTTAAAATCAAAAATAAGGAATTATTTACTTAAAACAAGCTCCTATATCTTGTTGAAAGGTTTCTTGTAAGTTAGTAAGTTTAATTGCACCACAAATAATCTGTATTTGTGTTTATTGGATTTTGTGTTTGTGCAGTGTGACTTAAAACCATTTACAATCCATGGCAAGGCTTGAAAACCATTTACAATCCATGGCAAGGCTTGAAAATCGAGCTATAAGAAAAGAAAATATTAAAGAGACAAGAGTTCAGTCTCTAGATGTGCAAAGCTAGTAGAGGCGTGCTCCAAAACCTTGTGGGTGTAATTACAAAAAAGTAAAAAAAAATTCAAGGATGGAAGTGAACTAAATAAAAAATATATGTCACTATTTTCAAAATAATTTTGCATTTTAAAAAAATCTGTCCATTTCTTTCTACTTCTCAATTAAATGCTACATTATGTTAGTCTATTTCCAAAATTAAAGTTACAAGCGAGAATTTGAAGAAATCCCGGGGAAATGAATACTTTTGACATTTATATCTGGACATCATGCAGATTGTCTTAAAAATTTTAAATTGGAAGGGGAAAAAAAGGTTTCCTTGGATCTCTGCTTGATTGCAGCGCCGTGTTCTGGTCCTGCGCAGTGAGCTGCTCAGAGGCAAACGGCCATCTAACGCAACAGGCATCTAAAAGAACCGGAATCAGGAGGGCTTCCTGTCTGCGTCAGCCAGAGAACAGGACAAACACAAACCCAATACCTGCTAAAGGCAATGGTGTGCAACTCTTTCAGGACGACTTCAAAGTTCAGCTCACGCAGCTTGCACCTGAATTATTCATGAGCCGCCTTCAAACTTCACAGCTCCCAGGATGACCAAGTTGATTTATACTTTTCCCATTACATGAAACCTTAAAAAAAAGAAGTTCAGTGCATAATATCACGTGTACGAAAGACATAGGATTAATGTGCTTCTTTCAAGCTTTTCTAAAAGCAAAAAATGCCTGAAGAGCCTGTTCTCAGTGAATGTATATTGAAAATATATTGAAAATTTTATAAATGTCAATAGCCATATTGAAATTGGCTATTGATATGCTTAGCGATAGCCAATTTTATCTTATATTCCCAAAATAAAAGCTATGGGTAACTTTTATTTGCCCAAAAGTTTCAGTGTACTTTTGGGCAAATAAGTGTTTAACACGCACTGATGCTTGGTTATGTAGAAATCTTTAGTGAGAAGAATAATGACCTAAAATGTCCAAAATGCAACACAGTAAGTTGAGTTATGGTCCCGTTGACGATTAAGTCGTAAAAGCTCTGCTCTGAACAGGTTGCTGTGGTAGCACACACATAATCTTAGAAAATAAAAATGTAGCTCAAGGTTGCATAGATGGATTGTATTTACCAACAACTGTTTTATTTGTTATTCCTTTTACTCAATGGAACTGCAATATAAATAAGCCTTTTTGAATTCTACGGCATCCACAACTGGCTTGAACTTTTTGAGATAATAGAAATCTTCTTGTGTACCTCTGCAGTGGTTTTCATTATTCTGTGTGGATTGTGGAGAACTCCTCTCAGAATAAAACGCGACGCGCTGTGCAGGCCGTGGACTCATTATTTAGTTATTGGTCGATCAAGACGGATTTCTTTGGCATTTTTTTGTGGCTCTGTGTGGAAGCAGGAGATGTGGCGACTACCACGGAAACATCTGGCAAATATGTTGGATGATATTTCCCGATGCTTGAGCTGCAGTCGCTGCTGCTGTTGCTTACGAGCTCCACATTCAAAACTGTAAATAATAGATAAATATGTAGTTGTTTTTTAACTTTTGTTCTTCACACCTTCAGGTACACCGAGGAGGAGATCCGACAGAAAGTGAGCACATTCAGACAGATGCTGATGGACAAGGAGGGTGTTATCACCAGAGAGGGCGCTCACACACAACCCATGTAAGTTACATTACATTTAGCTTATTCTGAAGATGTGTCTTTTTATTTCCTCTGTTTATTAGCTGCACATTTTATTGTGAAAACGTAGAAAAATGTTGGACATTACAGAAGAATGAGTGCAGAAATTGTTAAAAAAAAATCAAATCAGCAAAGTTAGATGTGTTATTTGATCAGAGGGCACGTCCTAATCTTACTTCAGTATTCTTTTACCCGTCTTTATAGTTAGACTCAGACGTTTTCATACGCTAATTGTGGATATGAATGTCATATGGTCTTTTAATGATGCATTTGAGTCATTCTTATTCAGTGTGAAAGGATTGTATTATTAAATCTTTATTTGAACTGAATGGATTATTTTATTCTAGCAGAAAATATCAGTGGAATAATTTCACTGAACTCCGATCCAGAGCCCCACAGCATTCTGGGGGATGTAGGCAGAGGAAAGGCTTTAGCTGCTCAACGTCTCGTGATGAGCTAAAAACAATTGGTGGCATCAATTAATTCACTCACACTTAGCAACAGCCAGTTGAGAAAATTGTGCAGCAACAGTTTCAGGTTTCTCCACCGCGCCTCATAACTGCTTAAAAAAAAACAATGGTGTGGAGTGAATGCCGTTGATAAAACAGGAAAGATCCCACCACCAGTTTCGCAGTACTTCAGATAATCAAAACAATTAACCTGTCTATTAATCGATATCGACCGATTTAAAACTCTTGTATCGCTAGGAAGTTACTGAGCCACCACGCACTTTTTTTAATATTGATTAGCAAGCTTCTGATATAAGTATCTGATTGGATATTTGAACACTTCTTATTAAAAAATGGTAAAGCTTGTTTAATTTTCATGTTTTACAACTCGAACTTTGCGCAGAAGGCTGAGAGGGAGCTGGTCTCATCTGGAGCAAAGGAGTTTAGACGAAGACAGTCACAGTGTGCGTACTCTGAACACACCGCAGAAAAAGGCACCTCCGAATCACGAGTAACGGGAACAGCAGAGGCGTAGGCATGGCGGCCTTCTGAGCCAGTCCATCACACATTCAGAGGCGGCAGAGCGGAGTCGACCTGACCGACCTTTGTGAACTTATGAACTAGTGAAGTTCATGCATCCTGTGTCTCAGACACAGCTAATGACTCTTCCCTCCTTTGCACCTCATCCGGTGTCTGACATTTACCTAGAAGATGCTGAGATGTGGAGCACTGCTGACGGAGTGGCTTTTGCTGCATGCAAAGTTACACAACGGTGAATATATTGACATTTATGGCCCAGCCAAAGCAAAAGTCAAAGACTGACAAAGGTATGTAGCATTCTGCCAATTACATTTGAGGTGAGTTTAGGTCGTAGGCGGCCACATCCAGAAATGGCTCATCTGCAAACAAAACCGATGATAAGAAAATTTTCTTAAGAAAATGTGTCTCACTCTCTTGAAATGAGCCAATACAAAATCGACAGAAAGACTTTGCAAATCAAGGTTCCAAAGAATTTATCAGGACAGAATATTTAAGTCCAGGAGTGTTCACATAATTTTATGCTGATCTCTAAGATGACCCTAAAGCCATAAAGGCTTTTTTATGTTTCCCTAAAGAAAATAACTGCTTCATTAATCTCAGAACCGTGTTTAAAGAGTTTGTTCACTGTCAAACGAATTTAAGTTTAAACTTTAAAAAGTAGATTTTGAAGCAGAGACAATAATAATTTTTTTAAAATCTGCGTTTTGTCGGTCAATCTAATGAACAGTCTTAGTTGAGAACTACTTCGAATTAAATGTATCAAAGACAGATGTGATATCTCACAAAGGTGGGATCTTTCCTGTTTTATCAACATGCCGACAGATTTCACTTATCAAAAGATATTGCAGCGTTTTAATATTCCAATATTCTTTGCACAGCCAACACCGGCTTGTTTTACCGTGACCCCTAGAGAGATTCCCAGATCATTTAGTTCTTACCGAGCAGAAAAAAATAATGCTACACATTAAAATATTTGTATGCAAAGTTCCTAAATAACGAATCCCGACAACCTCACCGCTGAATACGCTCTTGCTTTGAGTGCATTTCTGCTCAGTAGTAGCAGTTAAGGGGAGCCCATAATGTTTTTTTTCAGTGAGTTATGTAACTGGGAGGAGGCGAGGGCCCCATAGAGTAGTTTACTACTGTTACACACTGGCTCATAAAAAACCCTGCTGTAGGGATAGATGTGCAGCCTCCTCCTTCATACTTACTACTGTCTGCATTGATTTCTCCGAAGACTGGATGGGAAGCGAGAGAATGAATGCCGTTGAGTAACTCCGAGTTACGCACGAAATCTGCGCAATCTGTGCAGGATTAATGTGCAAGCTGACCCAGCATCGGCTTCGCAGAACAACTGTCGGATGAAATACTAGAGAGAGACCGGATTTATTTGAGAACAGAAACATGGCGTAGTAGATGTGACTTTACAGTTCAGCCGTTTTGCATAGTCCCTGCTAGCTAACGTAGCTCAGTTCTTCAGATGTAGTTAAACAGATGAGCTTCAAATCACAGCAGGAGCAAGATCTAGCACCGCTCGAATGTCGAGGAATAATGAATCCGACTTCCACCACAAAATAACACACTGTAACTCTGGGCAACAATGAGAACAGGACTGATCCTTCAGTGGCCGAGCGGCTGTCTGAGCACAGACATGCACTTTGTGCTGCGGCCCCGAGGAGGGCCTCGGTCACAGTCCATCACTGCCAGGTCCCAGGGACAAAGGCTGAACCAGGAAACCCGTTGCCTCACCGCTGCAGCACCGAGCGCGGGGGATGCTCGTTTATCTGCCTAACAGGGCGGCTGTGTGGCTAGACAGATGTCTCCCGCATATTGGAGCCTGGCACCAATTAGGAGATTAAGAACTGGGTGGGGAATTAGTTGATTCATCACTAATGACTGAGCACAGGCGGCACTGGATAGTTTAAATTGTTGTTAATTGCTTTTTTTGGCAGTGTGTTTCAATGCTGCCTCCCTGGCCTAAAGCGGGAAGCCACACAGACGGCTTATTTCAGTTTGTAGAAGGACACAGTGACATATTGTGGAAGTTGATCCATCCTGCTGCAAATAGTTACTTTTAGAGCTAATTCTTCACTGGACAGAGAGACAGACCACATTGTAGTCCATACTTCATCTGATGTGTCCTTGAACGGGTAGCTTTTTAAAGTTGGTAACACTTTGATGGGGTGTGCATAAGACTGACATGATACCAGTTATGAACATGAAGAAGTCTTTATGAATGAGTGCAGTCATGAAGTGTCGTTCGGTAAATAATGACCCTTTTCATACAAAGTTGGTCTAAAAGTTGCATTAAAAGTCCATTAAAAGTGCCAATTTTGCATTTAAGTGTCATTATTTACAAAATCATGCGAAGTTGGGACTTTTAATGCAACTTTTAAAACAACTTTGCATTAAAAGTGTCATTATTTACTGAACGACACGTCATAACAGTCTTGAACATTCATAAAGACTCCTTCATGCTCCTGTCATGTTTATGACAGTACCATGTCAATCTTATATACACCCCGTCAAATAAAGTGTTACCAAAGATTTTAAAAAGTTTATAACCTACCTGCAGTGAAAAAACAAAAAACTCTCTTAGCATCCTAATTTACAGGATTCATACAGGTGCTTGAAATCCTTGAAAATGCTTGCATTTCAATTTCCATGGTTTGGAAAGTGCTTGATACTTTGTCGTAAAGTGCAGTTTGATTAAAACCTGAATCTGGAGAACATTATTTACAGTTGAGACCAGATATTTTCATAAACCTAGGTTAAAGACACAGACACATTTATTTTTTTATCAGTGTCTGAAGTTAAATCACACTGAACATTTCTCATTTTAGGTCAGTTAGAATTGAAAATAATTATTTCTATTTGCTAAAAGCCAGAAAATTTAGTAAGAATTTTTTTTAGAGATTCTTTTTTAACTAACTTTGTATATTATGTTTAAGCATTTAATCTGAGCAGGAAAATCATTTACCTTACAGGATTTGCTTGGATTGTCTTGATGAATATTTATTTAAGTAATGAATACTTATTAATCTGTGTAACTGAAATTAAGTGTTGCTTATATTTTATATGTTACAGTTATTGAAAACGGGAGCATTTTCAAAACATAAAATTTGTCATATTTTAGCTTCCCTTGTCTCTGTTGCCACAAGACAAGATGTCTTCAGATTTTATTTACATCCTGTAACATGTAACAATAAATTGAATCTCTTTCTTAATTGATTTGTATTGTTTTTATCTCAAAAGCGCATCATGAAAAGTGCGTGGGAAAAATGTACGAATCCTGAATTTAGTTTAAATCCAGATGAGCTGGTGATGGAGGATGGTGTTACGGACCGGTCCAAAAGAGTGAAGCCCAAAGTTGATTACCTTTTTTTTTTAAAAAAAAAACAACTCTAGGGCAAAGAGGGGAGCTGCTCCATTAACAAATCTTTTCTGCAAACAAACCATGTAAAGCATTTCTAATCAGAGTAATGATCTGGTAAAAAAAGAAAGAGAGAGATGTGCAACTCCAAAACATTATGGCGGTTTAAATGAACATTGTTTTAGTGATTTTTACTGTGCCTTACCTTTCTACTCTGTAGTTAACGGCCGAGAAAACTTGACATGCTTTGTTCTTGGTATACGTTTCACACAGGATGATTCCCCCTTTATATCCGCTCTGCTGGAAACGGACACCCGCCTGTCAATATAACATGTGCAGGGGTTCAATTTCAAGTTGCGAATCAGCAAATTACTGGGCAGCAACTGAGGGCATCAAGGCATCAGTTCAAATCGAGCATCAGAATGGGAAAGAACCAGCTGGTTGAAGGTGCCAGACAGGCTGATCTGAGTGTTTCAGAAACTGTTCATCTGCTGGGAGTTTCACGTACAGCCTGCTCTCAGGAGTGCAGAGGATGCTCAAAAAAGAGAAAATATCCAGCGAGAAGCAGGTCTGTGAATCAAAAATAATGTCAGAGATCAGAGGAGAATTGGCAGACTTGTTTGAGATGATCGAATGGGAAAAGCAGCTCAAATATCCACGGTGGGAAACATTGAGTCTATTTATGCTGTGATATTCAGATGGTCGGGTCAGAATGTAGAAATGTGGAATCATTGATTCTTCCTGCCTGGAATAAATGGAGTATTGGTGATATTTTATGAACACTGTGGACCCCTTCGTGCCATTTGAGTATTGTTTAAACTCCAAATCTTACCTGATTATTGTTGCTGACCATCCCCATCCCTTTCTGTCCATCTCCTGCTGGTTATGTCTGTCAGTGTAATGCACCGTGCTGCAAAGCTCAGTTAATCTCTAATGGTTTTTTCGAACATGACAGTAAATTCTCTATGCTATAACTTTGGTGAAAAAAAAAAAAATCAACTTCGTCTGCGTTCTCTCACTGCTAACTAACATCTCGACAGAGACAACCAATCCGAGCCAGGAGGAGGATCTTAATGCTGTCAATCATGCTTGTGAACACACTGCTCAGACCGACCCCTTTCTCTCTGCTACGGCTTGTTCACCCCAACAGATGCTAGTTAGCATGTGATGAACAGTTTTCCTGAAACGGTAAGTAATTTCTCCACCATTAGTGTTTTTTTACCAGCGCATACACGAGCTTGATTGACAGCCCTAAGACCTTTCCTCCGTCTCTGATCGGTTGGTTCGGGCTGCGTTTCTGTGGACGACAATAATAGCTCAGCGAGGACAGTTTTAACAAGTATGTCAAAAAAAAAATATTTTTTTTATTTCATAAAAGTTACACACCCCAGCTTTAAATCTACATTCATTTAAACTCAGTCATATCAATTGTGAAACCTCCATATTTCCTACAGCTGGTTGCTTCTCTCGGCCGTCTGTCTCAGCCTGTAGGTTTCGTTCTCATTTCCTATTAGCGAGATTTAAACCAGACTGTCGTGGTAAAATAAGTTGTTTTTCTTTTTGTTTTTTTTAGCTGATTCACAGCATCCCTGCTGGGCCCATCCGTGCTCAGCCAATTAAGGGCTCTGCTGCCTCGTGTCTTCCTAACAAACCGCTCTGCCTTCCCCCTCTAGATACCCAACATCACATATTATCTAGATTTCTTTGCTTTCCATTCAGATCTGATATAGAGGTTTGTCTTATGGAGCGCGTTTGATGTTGTCACTTAGGAATCGCTATCCTTTGCTTTATTAAATTGTTTCGGCGTGTCGCTTCAGCTTCTTCTCTTCATTACTCCACTCTTGTTTTATTCTCTCCCCCGCTGGTTGGGGCGGCAATTCATCAAGGTGACGTTTGTGTCCTCATCCCTCTGAGATAACTTGTACACATCCAGCCACTGAACGTATTCAAAAAAGGCAATTATGGTTTTTTAATTACAATGGGACAAGACTGTGTCACAGAAATGGGTGAGTGTGTCTTTTTTTTTTTTTTACGACTGCATTGACATGGTGAGGTCAGGTTGGGTCAATTACACCGGGGGCATTAAAGGGAAATCGGGGCTATTGAGGCAGGAAGGATTAGGAAGGAGTTTGCAGCCATCTGTCAGAAAATACAATGCGGTGTGTCAGAAGAGTTGGAAGATATTAATCCCACAAGCTGGGCGTAAATTGGAAAGCAGTGTTCTCAGATGTGGGGTCAGGGGAAATAAGAAATGTCCTAACAAAACTTCATCCACAGTAAAAGAAATAAAATTTAAATTAATACGTTGCATAACGGGTTTATGTTGTTGGGACCTTTTTTTGCGGTAGAGTTACAAAGTGACCTACAAAAGTATTCATACCGGAACAGTTTTTCACATTTTGTACAAACAAAAACTTTAACATGTTTTATTAAATTATACATAAAAATCTGAAAATAGCTAGACCATTAAAAATGTAAAGATATGTTGGACCAGTTACAGTTTGTTAAAAGGCGAACCTCTCTTTTGCAGACTCTAACAGGTTTCCTTCTAGGACTGTCCTGTATTCAGCTTTTCTTACCCAGAACATTTGCCCCCAGCATGCTGCTGCCTCCACCATGCCTCACCCAGAGGAAGGTTCAGCCAGGTTGATGTGCAGTCTTTGTTCTCCGCCACACATAAAGGGAATGAAATAAAGGTGTGAATGGGATCCAACTTAAAATAAACTATAGAATAAAATAGGATAATTAGGATTATTGGAGTGTTGGTAGTTAGCAGGAGCTTTAACAAAATTTTATTACCCGTAATTCCAGGCAACTCCATTGAAATGCTCATATTATGAGTAAATAATTGTTGCACACATTTTCTTTTGCACCTTTGGAAACATGAAAATGTCTTTTCTTTTTCATGTGTTTTTATCCTTGGTGTTAAAAGTCTGAGGCAGCAACCACACACACTATGAGGCTGCTGGTATCATCTGACCCCTAGTTAACTTCTCTAGACTTTAAATAGCACAAACAGTGAGCAATACTTTATGATAAATATAGTGTACTTCGCCTGCTAATATTGCGTTGGTTTCTGGGAGGATTATCACAGTTTGCATGTTGCTGCACTTTATCATTCAGTCTGCTCTCTCCGCTGACGAACATGAGTCATAAATAAAATTAGCTTTTCTGTTGTTTCCGCTTCTGTTGTGTCCACAATACACAGCAAACTTGGGCGTCGGTTTAAAGCAGTAAAGCAGTAAGACGGTTTTTGGAAAGCTCACTTCATGATCCTTGACTGCTGATCCTCCAGGGTGAACCACTTCCACTATCAGCCCGACGAGTACGAAGACGACCCAGACGCGGTCGGCTACGCAGACGGAGACTACGAACAGGACTACCACAGCGATGACAGGTGGGCTAACGAGGGAATGGGAATCAAATCATTCCTACAAAAGATTTCTGAGAATTTCTTTGGAGAAAATGAAATGGGAAACCCAGCAGAAACATTCATTCAGCCTAACCCTGCAAAATGTTGCTGCCATCGGCCTGCACTCAGAAAATAACAAGTTCAGTTTCTTATAAGCAATTTGCTTTCATTGCAGAGACGTAATGCGTTGTTATTGCAATTTGGCTGAATGGACTGAGGAAATGAGAAAAATTTACATTTGTTATGTCATCACCAAGGCGCCAAAGCAACACCAAATAACTATAATCTAATACTGAGAACTGAAAATGATTGTAATAACAATCACCAGTAAATGCTTTTGCACCGCCTGACTCTGCCTCCTTTTTATTTGTTTTTGTTTTTGTTTTTGTTCTCCGGCCAATTCAGAATGAAAAGGAAATCAACCAGCTCTCCATCCCCCCGCCCAAAGAAAAGGAAGAAGAAGAAGTCTGGCCGTCGAAGGAGTCGGTGAGTGGAAACAGCCCCTCCTAACGACGCTTCCTCTTCCTGTTTCTTTTCCAGGCTTGCTGAAGGGATAATTACTCATGGTGCAATTACTCTCGATGGTTTTGTGGAATGAAATCCTAATCGTTTTTCTATGAATATTGCAAATGAGTCATCAGATACCATAACCGTGGAGGTGGGGAATGATGGGATAAGTATGCGCATATCTCTCCTCTTTTTTTCTTTTTTTTTTGACAATGTCAGCCAAAAAAGAAAGGGAGGAAAGAAGAATCTATCAGCAGCCTGAGACTCCGGTGTCATACCTGCCTCCCTCACCTTCTCTTCATCAACAGGTTTGGCAGCTCGTCGCCCACTCGCAGAGAGAAGAAGAAGAAGAGTGGGAAGAAGCACAAGCGAGACAGGTGAGCGTGTACAAGGTGTCATCAGTCACAAACAAACAAGAAAGCCTGGATTCATAAGGTGCTACGGCTGCATGTCTTTTTCCCTGAAGCTTGTTTGAGTTGCTGGTGGTCGGAACCGGATCCGACCGGACAGATACTTCAGGGACTTCTTCTCCGCCCTTGGGAAGAATACGTTTTTTTCTAATGGCTTCTGATAAATCAATGTCATTTTGTAAAACAATCCCATTCGTTTTGTTTTTTTTCTTTCATTTCTGATGATTGTTGGAGCCGAGCTCTGACAAATGAGAGGCTCATCAGGGATACAAACCGAGGCGTCGCACATTCAAACTCAGGACCGTCTCTGACAACACATTCGTTACGGTTTGGCTCACGGAACATAACGCATGGAAGGAAACCGTCATCGAAAAGTACTTACAAATTAAATTTATTCGATGAGAAACAATAGATGCTGAGGAGGAAGAAGAGGAAGGAAAATGCTGCCTGAAGACGATGAGGAGTCACTCCATTTACAATCAACACCAGTTACATTCAGAAACAGGAACGCACAAAAAAGGGATTTCAGAGAAAAGACTCGAGGCTGCACCACATTTTTACCCCGACAACGATGTGAGCTGCAGAAACGGGGTTGCTTTCATCAGAAACCTAAATTATTCTCACAGAGACTCATCTAAATAATTCTCTTTTCTTTTTACTTTTATCTTCCCTCTTTTCTATATTTTGGATCAGTGTGCAACTTGTCGCAGTATCAATTATTACTGAGGAAGGCGAGAGAGAGAGGAAGGGAGTAAGACAGAGAAATTACCTGGGAAAAAAAAATAAAAGCACAGAGGGAAAAAACTGTTTGTGTTAAAAGACAGGCAGCTGTTTCCATGTCAGAATAATCAGTAATACAAAAAGGAGAAGAGAGGCAAGATAAAAGATGGAAAAGACAAAAGGAAAATGAGAAATGAAGGATTGAAACCACAATTCTGTGGCTGATTTCTGATCTGTGTTTTAGTAATACTTTGATCAGCCAGTGCTGACTGTGGCTCATTCTTATGTACTATGAGATGTATGCAGAATTACAGAATGTGCATTT